GCTAGTGGTGATTTTAAAGTGAAGCCTTTACTTGTGTATCATTCAGAAAATCCCAGTGTGTTTAAGAAAAACAATGTCTTTAAGAACAAGTTATGTGTCTTGTGGAAAGCTACTTATAAGGCATGGGTCATAAGACAAATTTTCAAAGAGTGGGTCTATGAAGTGTTTGGCCCCAGTGTGAAAAAATACCTCCAGGAAAAGAAATTGCCACTCAAGTGCCTCCTGTTAATGGACAATGCTCCTGCTCATCCTCCAAACTTATTAGACCTCTTGTCTAAGGACTTCAGTTTTGTAAAGGTGAAGTTCTTGCCTCCTAACACCACTCCTCTCCTCCAGCCCATGGACCAGCAGGTCATTTCTAACTTCAAAAAACTCTACACAAAAGCAGTGTTTGAAAAGTGCTTTGAAGTGACCACAGACACTAAGTTGACCCAAAGAGAGTTCTGGAGGAATCACTTCAACATCTACAGCTCCATAAGCCTTATAGGTAAGGCTTGGGAGGGAGTGACTTCCAGGACTTTGAACTCTACTTGGAGACAAATGTGGCCAGATTGTGTCCAAAAGAGGGATTTTGAAGGGTTTGAGGCTAACCCTGACCCAGCTCACCCTCTGCCTGTTGTGGACTCTATTGTGGCATTGGGGAACACCCTGGGGTTGGAGGTGAGTGGTGAGGATGTGGAAGAGTTAGTGGAGGACCACAGGGAAGAGCTAACCACTGAAGAGCTGCAAGAGCTTCATCTGGAGCAGTATCAGACCACAGCTGAGGAACTTGCTTCAGAGGAGGAGGAAGAGGGAGTGGATGAGGTGCCTTCTTCAAAGATTAAGGAGATTTGTGCCAAGTGGAATGATGTTCAAATGTTTGTGCAGAAGTACCACCCTGAGCAAGCTGAAACAAGCCATCTTTGCAACAAGTTCCGTGACAGAACCATGTCCCATTTTAGGGAAATGTTAAAGAGGCACCAGAAACAGAGGACTGTGGACAATTATTTTGTGAGACTGGGGTCCAGTGACTCTCAAGCTGGTCCTAGTGGCATTAAAAGACAGAGAAGGGAAGTAACCTCAGAGAGGGCTTTACCTGAAGTCCTCATGGAGGGGGATTCTCCTTCCAAACACTAATCCCAACTCCCTATCTTCCAGATGCCATCACCAAACTTCAATAAAGGTAAGTAAAAATGTTATTTTATATGTATTACTATACATAATTAAAAACCATAGTATTTGTTGTATGTAAAACTGTAATTAATCTCTATAAAATGTATTTTTTGTGTGAATATTTTTGGATTTCTGGAACAGATTAATTGTATTTCCATTATTTCTTATGGGAAATATTGCTTTGAATTTCAGACTTTTCGAATTTAGAACTAGCTCCTGGAACAGATTAAGTTCGATTTTTGAGGTTCCACTGTATAACTAAATTTAAATTGACAAGACAAAATACATAAGGTAGTAAAAGAAAATAAAAATGGCAATGACTTGGTTATAATATGATAGTAAGATGGTACACAGGATAATATTAAAGTTGGAGTTGAATATACAAGCTTAAAAATTGGTAACAAAAGGTTAAGAATATAGAGAAAATAGCTTTTTTTGTTTCAGCTTTATGGTGCAGTACGAGTGTATATCACAGTTAGCCCTGTGCTACACTCCGTTTTCTCTAATATAAGCCCCATGACAGGGATAGGAGAATGGTACTTGCATCTCGTATCCTCTTCATACCTCTGTTGAACTGCTCGGTATTATGCCAAATATTATTCATTCTGGAGTATTTAACATGTTTTATGTTATTTATATTGTTTATTATGTCATATTAGATCAATTGTGATAGGCAATAAACTGTAATGTTGATATTAGCGTAATAATAAAGCATATTCTGCATCACGAGACTGAGCTCATAGCAACCGACAGTGGCTTCAAAGCCACCTTATCTTTAACCTGTAAACGGTCCAGGCAGATCTATGTTCACATGTGTAGTGCTCCAAAAGTAGATCTACTTTTTTTTTACATATTTTCCAATATAACAAAAAAAAAAAAGTAGATCAAAGTTTTTTTACACATTTTCAAATGTAAAAAAAAAAAAGATCTACTTTTTTTACATACTTTCAAATGTTGAAAAACGTATATATACGTTTGGACCATTTACGGGTTAATGGACAATGTACTGTGTAGGTGCTTTATACAACGAAAAGCATTTCTTTTATTCATTGGAACCATGGCTAGGGCTAAAAGCAAGCAGGTTATAATGATAAATGGAGAAAAAGAAATTAAAATGACTTATGCAGCAAGTAGCGCCACCAAACAGTACCAGCAGGTTAGTGTGGCGACCCTGGAAATTTGAAATTATGCTAGCTAAAATTAGTGCCGAATAACTGAAGGAACCGAATAACTGATTGCCGGATTTGTGATGGCGGACCTGTACCTACAGTCTGGACATGATCACTTTCAATACATAGCAAGAGTCAACTATAAAAATTTAACATGGACATGGACTAATATGAATTATTATAATTATGGGGGAGCGCTAAACCCGTAGGATTATACAGCATATGTAGGGGGGGATGGAAAATATTCAGGCTCAATTCAATAAAGCGAGTATAGCCCTGGGAAACAAATATTGTGAACCTCACTCAAGAAGGAAGACCTAGAAGTGAGCAATGTATCAAACGTACTGCCAGAAGCATACCAAGTGAATAACCTCAGGCTAATATTTCTTGACAGATCTAAGAGTAGCTTTCAGAAATGTCAACAAGGAATCATTCATGGCCCTATGTATGGCATATATCAGGCCCACCTTTGAGTATGCAGCACCAGCATAAAACAGTGTTAAGAAACTGGAGAAACTTCAGAGCATCCCTGATTTAAGGGAAATGAACTATGAGGAGAGGTTAAAAGAATTGAAGCTGATGACACCAGAGGATAAAAGAACCAGTGAAGACAGGATAATGCCATACAAAATACTCAGAATGACCTGACAGGTCAAAGAAGGACAGACTGTTCAAGAGTCAGAACACTGGTATACAAGGGAACAGTTTGAAGTTAAAGACAGAAGAATCACAGGGATAGTCAGGATGTATTGTTAAGCCTTAGGGTGCTCAAGAAGTGGAATGACAGTTTTAACCACTTACTGTAGCATACCTTAGATATTAACCCTTTCAGGGTCCAAGGCCAAAATCTGAAGTGGTGCCCCAGTGTCCAAGAATTTTCAAAAAAAAATTTTTTTATTTTTTCTTGTGAAATGGTAGAGAATCTATTTGTGAAGGTAATAAAACAAAAAGTACGAAATTTGATGGAAAATTGACGAAATTATGCTCTCGCGAATTTTGATGTGTCAGCGATATTTACGAATCGGCGATTTTGCTGACTTTGACTCCCATTTTAGGCCAATTACATTATTCCAGTCGGCAAAATTCTTAGCTATTTCACTAGTATTACTTCTATTCTATCGATTCAGCACAAGAAATCACCAAGTCAACTGTTTCAACTACAAAATAAAGTGATCGGAAATTGGTAATTTGGCCAATTTAACACAAAGTTTAAAATATTCCAATTTCAAAATAGGGTCCAGAATAAACAATGTAGGTATTCCTGGCACTAAACTAACATTTCCTCTGTTCATTAGTTACGTTTTGAGGCTTTACAAATAAATTCCATTTTGATTTTTTATTCACATAATGAATTTTTATTCACACCAAAAAAAAAATAGAAGATTTACTGTTATGCAATATTGTAATAATTGTATAAATATCATCACCACATTTATGAATGTATATTAGACCCACCAGCTGGCGTGTATTAGACGTGTGAGGTCGTTTGTTTACTCTTGAACATCGGCAAAATTTAACATTTCTGCTACTTTGAGCTCAGTTTCAAGCCATTTCTAGTGCTAAAACCAATCAAAATCACCTCTATTTCTGTAATATGTCTTCAATTCTATCAAATGAGACCAAGAAATCACAAGTACACCTATAAAAAACATACGAAAAAACACTACAAAGTCGCTGTTTTAATCGAAAATCACGGTCTCAGCTTTTTTTCTCTCATTATACACAGTGTGCTGCAGGATTTGTTTTATGTGGTGCACACATACCACATAGATGTATTCTCTCATATCTAGGCCCAAATGTACCACTCACAGTTTATCAGAGTGAGCTGAGCTCATGACGTAGATCTACGGTTTGGACCCTGAATGTAAAGCCATAGATCTACGGGACGGACCCTGAAAGGGTTAGTTTCTTATGCGGCAAGATTTTGAAAAATTCTTTTCCTTGCATGCTGAAAGTGCATTTTTATGAAGTGAATGAGACAGAGTGGAATCTGATAAAAACTTTGATTATGCACATTAAAGTTGGTGAAAAAATTATCACTCTTCTGTAATGGCAGCATAAGTGCACCAACAATATTTACAATTTACTGATGCCAAATTATGATTTTTTTTTTTTGTTTTAATGTTCAACACTGTACACTAATTTCTTAGAATGTTAAATGTGTTTCAAGGTATTTTAGTACATCAAGCAGGAAAATGCATAGTTTGGTATTTCTTCATGTGAATTATGTAGTATAAATTTGTGCAAATATATTTTGTACTACTTTGATATTCTAACACTATGTACAAGGAGTACTTGTATTACAATTGTTTCAAGGTGTAATACTCCCCAAAACAAAGAAATGTCACGTTGTTTAGCAACCGAGTTATCCTGAAAAGTTTTTGTTGCATTCGTGGATTTAGAAAAGGCACACGATAGGATGGATATAGGGCAACAATGCGGCAGATGTTGCAAGTGTATGGAATAGGTAGTAGGTTACTGAAAGCAGTTAGTTTTTATGAGGATAATGATGCTAGTTTTTTCTTTCTTTTTTGGGCTACCCTGCCTCAGTGGGAGTTGGCCAGCATGTTGGAAAAAAAAATAATGTTCCTGTTACAGTATGTAAAGGAAATTATTTGTGCAGTTATTCAAAACAAAAAATGATAAAATTACCCATGGTAACATTCAATAAGAAATGTCTTACTGAATACATATTTATTAATAACTTAAAGTACCATACACAAAACTTCAAAATGTAAGAAACAATGGCGCAAAAATTTCACAAAAACAAAATTTGTTAGTTTTACTTGGATTCTGGCATAGCTAAAAAGAAACAAAATACATCTATAGGTAAACCTTATATATTCTCAAAATTAATTACTTAGAGATCACTTTACTCTTTATTATAAAAGTATTAATGTTTTAACAGTCAACTTTTTCTCAACATTTTTAAGAATAATATTTTAGAGGTTCTCATTGTTGCCTTCATCTTTGTCTTTTAGGCACTCTAATACATGCAACACTTGCTTGGCTGATGGTCTCCTTGCTGGTTCAGCTTCAGTACAAGAATAAAACAACTCCAAAACTGGTATGTAGTCACTACTCAGCTTGACGTTAGGTAGAGATGGTCGTGTCCCTGACAAATAATGAAGTGTTAGATACCATACCAATGTGTTAAACTCTTCTTACACACAAGAAACACCTATATTAAAAAGTATTAAACATATTCAATGAAATTCTCTAGTATACAACATATCAAAGCTTTCTGTAGAAAGTTCAGTGAACCACACTGAGGAATAAACCATTGGTAAACCTCAAAAACACTGCTACTGCACTGGACTTTCCCACCTCACCAACACTACGGCATTGGACTTTCCCACTTCGCTGACACTACTGCACTGAACCTTTCCACCTCACCAACACTACTGCATTGGATTTCCATAATTCAATAACAGTACTGCATTGGAATTTGTTACCTCAATTACAAAACTTCAAGTACTGCACTGGACTTCCTATCAATTTTCACCCTTCTACCTTCCACTGTGTACCTGCCTTGGGCTTTCTGCACCATCTGCTAAAAGGCTTAGAGAATCATTAATAACATCCTGAGAAAAGATAGATGACACAGGGATGGGAAGACCCATGCACATCAAACTTGCCACAATAAGTTTTCCCACACTTCAAGATACAGTGGTCCCTCAATAATCGTCCGGCCTGAAAGTCGTCCATTTTGGAAATAGTCCCGTTATTTTGTCTAAACATTGGCTCGCAAATGGTCCGTTAGTTCGCTAATCGTCTTTCATCCTGGATGTGCACTCACGGCTCTGAGCCGTTCCCAGCCAGTGTACCATTGTTTACCAGTGAGCGACGGTCCCCTTACGTGTTCATACAAAATATTTCATAATATTCCATTCATTTTAGTGCTTGCAAGTGCTAAATAAGCTACCATGGCTCCAAAGAAAGCTCCTAGTGCCAAGCCTTTGGTAAAGAAAGTGAGAAATACTATTGAATTTAAGAAAAACATCATTGAACAATATGAATGGAGCAAGAGTTTTAGCAGGAAGAGCAACAGATCGCAGCTCAGAATCTTGCTGCAGAGGAGGAGGAAGAGAGATGGAAGAAGGTGCCTTCTTCAGAAATTAAGGAGATTTTTGAAATGTGGGGTAGGATGGAAAGATTTATGGAGAAACATCACCCTGAGAAGGATGTTGCAAGCCATATCAGCAACTTGTACAGTGACAGAGTCTTGGCCCATTTTAGGGAAGTTTTAAAGAGACGCCAAAAACAGAGCTCTCTGGACAGTTTTTTTTTTTTTTTTGCGAGACAGGACTCCAGTGACTCTCAAGCTGGTCCTAGTGGCATTAAGAAACAGAGAAGAGAAGTAACCCCAGAAAAGCACTTGGTACCTGAGGTGTTGATGGAAGGGGATTCCCCTTCCAAACAGTAATTCAATATCTCTCCTCCTCCAGTCTTCCATACACTAAGAAGAATCGCCTATAAAGGTAAGTGTTTTGCTGTTAATGTTTCATTCATCATGTGCCATTGTATTGTTTATGTAATACATCTATATTTCATGTAAAAAAATTTTTGTTTTAATACTTCTGGGTGTCAGGAACGGATTAATTGTATTTACATGATTTCTTATGGCAAAAATTGATTCGAAAATCGTCTATTTCGATAACAGTCCCACTTCCAGGAACGGATTATGGACGATAATTGAGGGACCACTGTATATTTCATTTTTAGGTTTGATGAACCATGCTAAATTATAGTGGAATCAGTTTTAGAACAGAAAGTGTGGCCTGGTGGTTAACGCTCTCGCTTCACACGGTGAGGGCCTGGGTTCGATTCCCAGCCAGAGTAGAAACATTGGACGTGTTTCTTTCCACCTGTTGTCTATGTTCCCCATCAGTAAAATGGGTACCTGGGTGTTAGTCGACTGGTGTGGGTCGCATCCTGGGACACTGACCTAAGGAGGCCTGGTCACAGACCGGGCCGCGGGGGCGTTGACCCCCGGAACTCTCTCCAGATAAACTCCAGAATCTAGCACTAAGACTTCAGTGTTGCAGGTGATGCTTGTGGTTAGTGGTGGAAGTGGTAGTGCTGCTGCTGTTGCTACTCCTGGTCTTGGGAATACTGATTCAATCTGAATACTGATTTTCTAAATTCTTATTAATATTATCATTACTGTATTACAAAATAAATGCTAAACCCACTGCAGTAATGTATATTTGGTCCTTTGATTAACAGAATTCTGAGTAGCTGTTCAATCGGACATGAGGGATATCAAAAAGTTATTTGTTTCTGGTGTGGTGCCTGCGAGTTCTAATACAATTTTCAAGTAAGTATCTTATATTAACATTATGGTGAATGATTTTAAGCAAGTAGAGTGAACAGTAGTATGTATGTATGAATGGCATTTACAGTGGACCCTCGGTTATCAGTCGTAATCTGTTCCAGAAGTTCGACTTAAAACCAAAATAATATTTCCCGTAAGAATTAATGTAATTACAATTAATCCGTTCCAGACAAAAATATTCACAAAAAAGTATTTTTTTTAACAAATCAGTATTACATACCTTTATTGAAGACTAATGCTGGCTTCTGGAATGCCTGCTACACTCCCTGCATGCCTCCTCACTCCCTGCATGCCTCCTACACTCCCTGCATGCCTCCTACACTCCCTGCATGCCTCCTACACTCCCTGCATGCCTCCTACACTCCCTGCATGCCTGTTACACTTCCTGCATGTCTGCTACACTCCCTACATGCCTGTTACACTCCCTGCATGCTTGCTACACTCCCTGCATGCCTGCTACACTTCACACTTAAATTTCATGGTGTTTCTCACTTCCTTTACCACAGGAACTTTACTAGGAACTTTCTTTGGAGCCATGGTTACTTACTTTGCAGTTGCACTGCAAAAAACCCACAAAAAAAATGGAAAACAAGCAAAATGTTTGGATGTATGAGCAGAAACTTCCTCACACACCGAAAGACACAGCCAAACTGGCACGCAAGCGGCCCCAGCCAGTAAACGGATGCGTCCGAAACGGCCTATCACCAGGAGCCAAAAAACTGGCCGATCACCGAGGGTCCACTGTATATTACTAAGTTTAGGGACTTGAAGGAGGACATAGTGTGTTGCCTGCAATTAGTAATTGTTCTGAGGACTGCCTTTTATTGGGTGATAAATGGTTTGTGATAGGTTGCTGAAGTGGGTCTCCAGGAGCAGATCCCATATTAAGAAGTACTGTATAGATAAATGAAGAGAAAAGTAAAACATTAGTAGCATGGGTTGTGAAATATAATAGCAGGAGTGACTCAATCCCTGCAACCCCATACAGGCAAGTGTACACACACACATGTACACATGCATGCACAACTACTACTACTACTAAACCATACCCCCGGCCGGGATTGAACCCGCGGTCATAGAGTCTCAAAACTCCAGCCTGTCGCATTAGCCACTAGACCAGCTAGCTGGTCTAGTGGCTAACGCGTAGTAGTAGTAGTAGTGTCTAGTAGTCACTACTACTACTACACACACACACACAAACACACACACACTGAGAAGAGGTATGATAAGGCTCTTGGAGCCAGGAGAGAGTGGACCTAGTAATGACCAGCAAAAAGGCGAGGTCAGGAGCGGTTAATCGACCCCTGCAATCACATATAGGTGAGTGCACACATGTATATAGCTTTAATTTGACCCTTTCATTGTCCGTGCTGTAGTTCTACAAGTTTGCAATCTCTGCCCATGCCACAGTTCTACACCATGAGCTCGGCTCACTCAGATAAGCAGTGAGCTATGTGATAGAGAATGGATCAATGCAGTAAGTGTGCACCATATAAAAATAATCCTACTCACCCTGCAGTACACAATGGAAAAAAAAAATTGCAAGTGTTTTTGGTATAAAATAGATACCTTGTGGTGTATTTTCGGATGGTTTCTATGGTTGTATTCTCAGTTTCTTGGCCTCATTTGATAGAACGAAAGATGTATTACAAAAATAGAGATAATTTTTTTTAGTTTCAGGACTGAAAATAGCTTGAAATTGAGCTCAACATAGCAGGAATGTTTAATTTTTGTTGACATTCCAGAGGAAACGAATTGCCTCACTCGTCCAATGTGCGTCCAACTGGTCAGTCTAATAATGTGCTAACATTATTTATACAGTTACTACAATAATGCATAACAGTAAATCTTCTAATTATTTGTGAATAAAAATTCAAAATGGAATTCGTGTGTAAAGCCTGGGAACATAACTAATGAACAGAGGAAATGTTATTTTAGTGCCAGGAATGCCTGCATTGTTTATTCTGGACCCTATTTTGAAACTGGCATATTTTGAAATTTGTATGAAACTAGCCAAATTACAAATTTCTGACCACTTTAGTGGGTAGTTGAAATAGTTGATTAGGTGGTTTCTTGTACTCAATCGATAAAATAAGACGTACTAGCAAAATAGCCAAGAGTTTGGTCTACTGGAACAACATAATTGGCATAAAATATGACTTAAAGTGGGCAATATCACCAATGCGTAAATATTGCTGATAGCGTAATTTTGTCAGTTTTCCATCAAGTTTCATACTTTTTGTTTTAGTACCTTCAGAAAAAAATTCTCTACCATTTCATAAGAAAAAATAAATTTTAAATTCTTGGACACTGAACAAATTTCAGATCAGGGGTCTAGACAGTGAAAAGGTTAAGAAGAGGTACAATAAGGCACTTGGAGCCAGGAGAGAGAGGGGGCCTAGTAGTGACCAGCAAGGAGGCAGGGCCAGGAGCTGTGACTCAACCCCTGGAACCACAAAGGTCCATGCTCTTGCTCACACACATACATACATGTGCACACACACTGCATTCCGGCATCTCAGTAAGGAGTTGTTTCGGACCCTGTACACAATGTATGTCCGGCCCATATTGGAGTATGCAGGTCCAGTTTGGAACCCACACCTGGCCAAGCACATCAGGAAACTAAAGAATGTGCAAAGGTTTGCAATGAGACTAGTCCCGGAGCTAAGGGGCATATCCTACGAGGAGAAGTTAAGGGAACTCAACCCGACAACCCTGAAGGACAGGAGGGACATGACATAAAATACTGAGAGAAATTGACAAAGTGGACAGAGACAGGATATTCCAGAGATGGGACACAACAACAAGGGGTCACAATTGGAAGCTGAAGACTCATCTGAGTCACAGGGATGTTAGGAAGTATTTCTTCAGTCACAGAGTTATCAGGAAGTGAAATAATATGGAAAGTGAGGTAGTGGAGGCAGGTACCATACATAGCTTTAAAAGGTAGGATAAAGCTCATGGAGCAAAGAGAGACTGGACCTAGTAATGACCAGTGAAGAGGCAGGTGCCAAGAGCTATGAATCAACCCCTGCAACCACAATTAGGTAAGTACATGCACACACACAGACACTGAAGATAGGTCACCTTGAAGAGCTCTATTCCAGTAGCTACTGTGCTAATAGATTATCTCTCACACAAACAATACAGATATTCAATATTTTCTACAAACTCTGGGAAAACTATTATGATTTATATATTTATGATAAGCACTAAACCTGTAGGGATAATTTAGCACTGCACAGCAAGGGTAAGAGTTGACAGCGTTGAAGGTAAAGGATGGAGATAAAGAGGTGATACTGAGGAAGACATTCTCAGAAAGAGTACAGTGAAGAAGCTACAACTGATACAGGCAACTTAACATTTATTAAATTTTTAACAAGTAGACATTACCTACGGCTTTATAAAACTCTTGATACAACTCTTCTTCACTCTCATCATCCTTGATAGTAGTCAAATCATCAGTTAAAGTGGAGCTGTGTGAAATTTTATCCAAGTGAGGAGGATTAAGGGACAACATCTCCCTAAAAAATCAATAATTTTGTTAATTCACAAGTGTGCCAACCATTTCATACAGTACAGTGGTACCTCAGGATACGAAGAGCTCAGAACTCGAAAAATTATGTAAGTGTATTTATGTAAGTGCTTTTGTAAGTGTATTTTTGGGGTCTGAAACAGATTAATCTAATATACATTATTCCTTATGGGAACAAATTCGTTTGGTATTGGCACTCGAACAGCCTTCTGGAACGAATTAAGTTCACATCCCTAGGTACCACTGTATATAGTGCAGCCATAGCTAACAGTAATGGACTCCAAACTGTACTCTCAAAATCCTATTTCTAAATTATTATAGAGATTCAGCTGCCAAAGTCAAGTTCATTTCCACATGATACAATGTTTATACAGAAATGAGTGACGCTTATGCATGCAGAAAGCCCATGGTTATGCGGAACATTTCAAGCAAGCTTAAGCCTAATTTAAGACTACAGAGGTAATAAATATTACATATAAATATATAAGGTCAATAAATGTATACAAATAAGTATTGATGAGTGTATATGTCCTAGATAGTAGGATGGTAGACAGCAACCACCCAGGGAGGTTCTACCATCCTGCCAAGTAAGTGTGAAATGAAAGCCTGTAATTTTCTTAGGTGATGGTAAGATTGCTGGTGTCTTTTTTCTGGCTCATAAACATGCAAGGTTTCAAATACATCTTGCTACTTCTACTTACACTTAGGTCACACTACACATGCATGTATAAGCATATATATACACACACCCCTTTGGTTTTCCTTCTATTTTCTTACTAGTTCTTGTTTACTTCCACTTATCTCCATGGGGAAGTGGAAAAGAATTCTTCCTCTGCAAACCATGTGTGTCATAAGAGGTGATTAAAATGCCGGGAGCAATGGGATAGTAACCCCTTCTCCTGTATATATTACTAAATTTAAAAAGAGAAACTTTTGCTTTTTCTTTTTGGGAAACCCTGCTTCAGTGGGATATGGCCAGTTTGTTGAAAGAAAAGTGTATGTGTAAGTAAATATATTATTGTACATGGTTATAAGAAAATTATTAGGGGTTATAGACTAGCAGATAACAGGTATAATTTTTTACATTAAATGACATTCAAAGATGTGTCAGGTTGGCAGGGTTGGTTGCCACTATGACGTATTTCAGAGCATAGTGCTGGCTGCCCAGACGACTTTTGTCCCGAGTAGGGAAATTAGATCCAACAAAAATGATCCCAAATGGATAAACAATAGATTAAAACATCTCACTGGTCAAAAGAGAGACATATATAGGCATATCAAAAGAGGGTAAGGGCAGTTAAGAAATCAATATATTCAATTAAAGACAGAAATAAAAATAGGAATAAGAAAAGCAAAAAGGGATTATGAGGCTAAAGTTGCAAGGGATTCAAAGACTAACCCAAAAGGGTTCTTTCAGGTATATGGAAGTAAGATTAGGGACAAAACAGGCTCACTTAACCCTTTCAGGGTTGGTGCCGTACTAGTACGGCTTGCACGCTAGGGTTGGTGCCGTACTAGTTCGCATAAATTCTAGCGGCTTCAAATTAAGTGGGAAACAGCTGGTAGGCCTAGATGTGAGAGAATGGGTATGCATGGTCGGTATGTGTGGTATAAAAAAATTCTGGGACCCAGTGGTGCATTGTGAGAACGCCATTTTAGTAGACCTTGTTCACCATGCCTCGCGGTAAGAAGCTCCTCACTCCTCGGCAAATTGGGACACTTTTGTTCCCCAGTGACAGTTCTAATACAGATGGAAGTGCCAGTGAAGATGAGTTTCAAGGTTTTCATGAGGTTGTGACCGAAACTAATGATCATAATACCGGTAATAGTGAGGAAAACCCAGACGACCCTCAGTCTTCCACCTCTGCTGCCGGGCCATCTTGTTCACGTTCAGTTGTACCAGAATCAAAGAGGAAACTCCTGTTTTCCCAAATCCCGGACTCAGATGTGAGCATTGGTGATGATAGTGATAGTGAATATGAACTACAAGCTCTTGAAAACAGTTCCAGTAGTGATAGTGAAGTGGAATATTCTCCAATGAAGCATCAATATATACAACGATATATGCGCTCTGGTTATGTGCCATATGCTATTCCAAGGGGAAGGAGTACATCTCGGAGTACATCCCATGGCTGTACAACAGGAACAGTGAAAATGAAGATGATAGTGTTGCAATTGGGATGGAAAATGTGCATGGTGGTGGTAGTGGTGGTGCCGGCCGTGAGGTACCAGCAGTGGGCCATGCTGCCATCCATGCTGCCAGCAACGCCACTGCCTCAGCTGATCTACAACAAAGGCCACCCTCCTCCACCCACCCACCACACCAGCCTCCACAACCACAACCTCCACAACCACAACCCCGTCAATATCCAGTACCCACCAGCAGAACACACCTGGGATTGGCAGGAAGCTGCCAATTTTGTTCCCAATCCCCATCACTTTGATGAAAGTCAAAGTGGAATACGGCCATCTTGTACACTTGGGAACAATGCCACTGAACTGGAATGTTTCGAGTTATTCTTTGACGAACCCCTGATGGAAATTATTGTCAGGGAAAGCAAAAAATACTACGAGTACACAATGGCAAACACAATACTTTCACCAAACTAATGCCTACACCAGTGGAAGGAGACAACTGTGGCTGAGATGTATCTTTTGTTTGCCACAATAATGCTTATGCCACGTGTGTATAAGCACAGTGTGAAATCATACTGGTCAACTGACCGCCTGATTGCAAACCCAGGTTTCAGTGATATAATAGGAGTGAATCGATTTGTGCTACTGTTACGTATGCTTCACTTCTCAGACAAAACCAGGCCTGACAGAAATGACAGGTTATACATATAAGATTAGGAATGTGTTTGTGTATCTGAAACAGAGATTCAATATGTATTTTTATGCCTTCAGGAAGCTTGTTACTGATGAGTCTTTGATTCTGTTCAAAGGAAGACTCTCTTTCAAGCAATACATACCAAGCAAGAGGAAATGTTTTGGTATAAATTTGTTTGTGCTTTGTGATTGTTACAGTGGTCTTGTATTGGATATTATTGTGTACACTGGAAGAAATACATTCCAAGATACCAGGAAGTTACTGGGTATCTCCGGTGATGTGGTTAGAACAATGATGGAACCATATCTTGGCAAGGGACATATATTACAGTGCGGCCCCACTTATACAGCTGGTTAGGTTCCAGGCTACCGCCGTAAAGCGGAAACCGCCTTAAAGTGGAACACCCTTTTTTTCCACTTACAGATGCATACAAACACTAGATAACAAGTTTACACTAACATATATTAAGTTAGCAATAGAACCAGGCATCAAAAAACAATAAAAAAGTACAATACACACATAGTGCACTCATTACTTACCTTAAAATATTTATAGTCTTAATCTAGGGTGAGACAAGTAGTATTTATTGTAAGAAATCAAGTGTGGTATGTATGGTAGTCAGCCGGGCTACCATACCAGGCCACCCCACCTACACATACAATTCTATGATATTTAAGCATCCCAGAGCGATAAAATGTATATACAGTTCACTCATTACTTACCTTAAAATATAGGGTGAGATGAGTAGTATTTATTGTAAAAAATCAAGTGTGGTATGTATGGTAGTCAGCTGGGCTACCATACCAGGCCACCCCACCTACACATAATATTCTATTACATTTAAGCATCCCAGAGCGATAAAATGTATATACAGTTCACTCATTACTTACCTTAAAATATTTGTAGTCTTAATGTAGGGTCAGGAGTAAGTAAATGAGATAAAACGAATAAATGAGAGAGAGAAAGAATGAGTGCATGAGAGGGGACAGGCACAGAGTTATGTAAACAAACCAGGCGAAGGTAAGTTTTGTAAACAAAGTGTACATGTCTGGTTTGTGTACAAGTTACATTGTGTACAGGTTGTCTCTACATTGATACGGTAGAATAAATAAAGAAGAACACTTCCATTCTCATGTAACATCATTTTGAGAAGAAATGATGCTCTGAGTGAAGGCAATGGAAATAAGTCTCACTAACTTTTTTGGGTTATCCTAGGTTCTCTACACATATGTTGTTATGTATGATAATCTATGTAACTGTATTTGTGTATACCTGAATAAACTTACATACATACGAAAGGAATAATTTTCTACAGTTACCCCCAGTAACACATTTTCTCTTATGTTAGATTAGAGAAAATGTTATTCTTGGCATCACTTGTACAAGTTATCTGGCTACAACATCTCATATTTATGTTTATTTATTCTATTGTAGGGTGTATTTATCATCTTTTTATGTTATGTATCGTGTTTACTATATAATTTTGAAAAAATATCATAGATGGATTAATGAAAATGTGTATTTAACGTAATATACGACATTTAAATGAGACTCGATGATTATTATCATTACTAATATGACGTCTGGAGACATAAGACACTCTTACTGATTTTAATGTGTACCTGCATGCCAGCACAGTATGCAAGTTTATTTAAGTACAGGTATACATAAGTACAATTATCAGAGTACAGTGGACCCCCGGTTAACGATATTTTTTCACTCCAGAAGTATGTTCAGGTGCCAGTACTGACCGAATTTGTTCCCATAAGAAATATTGTAAGTAGATTAGTCCATTTCAGACCCCCAAACATACATGTACAAACGCACTTACATAAATACACTTACATAATTGGTCGCATTCAGAGGTAATCGTTATGCGGGGGTCCACTGTATATATAAAATATGAAATAACTTTTAAAAACATTTGAAATTTTGGAGTTTCCAGACAAAATGGAGAGACTTAGTGCTTACTGAGCTCACGAAGAATGTAAACAAACAGGGTGGGGCGCGGTGACCGTATTAGAAAGTCAGGTGGGGGGAGCCGTATAGCGAGTTTTGGTCATAATTTGAAATGACCGTATTAGCGGAACGCCATAAAGTGAAACGCCGTAAAGCGGGGCCCTGCTGTATATACCGATAACTGGTACACAAGTCCCTTA